AGTACCTACAAATAAATGTATATATAAGATTTTCCAGAATCTTTTCACTTCGTTATAAAACATTTTTATTGAATTATATGCATATTTATTTTATGCTGTTCTGCAAGATACAAATATGTAATGCGAAAGTTCTTCAAGAATTTTTCCATATATGCACGATTGCCTTCAGCTCCAATAGACTTATTTGACACTATAAAGCACCATTATAAAGATTAAGTTAGCTCATGGTCTGTTTTACAGACAGGTGTGGCGATTTACGCTGCCCCAATTTTAAATTTAAAATCGTATTATGAAAAGACTAAGAGAAAATATAATATAAATAGAATTGATTTAGGAAACTACAAGTATTTAAAATGACGTAATATTATCAATAATATAGTCACTATTATTTAAACCACGTAATTTGCAAAAGAAAATCGTAAGAATTTTATTTTCACATTCGTAGAATTCATTTTCAGCTGATTGGTATAGAAACAAGCTATAAATATACGAAAATTATGAGTTTGTACTTCTTTATTAACTAAACAGATCATGATTTTATTAGTATTAATAAAGTGCAATAGTTAGTTTCTGAGAAACAAGGGGGTGTCACTTTAGGAGACCTGTGTCAATATCGACTTTCCTCTATAGGGTAACTCCGGCAAATACGCCGCAGAAGTCAGAAAAAATAGAAGGAGTGGGGGTAATTCTCCCGCAACTATTCTGTTACATGCCTTTATGTTATATTAATATTGTGTTATGATTTCAGCTTCTTACTGTTAATATTAATGAAATTATTATTGAGTTGAATCGATTTGTCACTGTAATAAATAGCGCCATAAATCTGGAGGTGTCTCAGCGCTAATTATAATCTACATAAAATCATTACTGTAGGGCGTGTAAAAGATCTAATGGTTATTTCGTGATGCATACGTGTAGAGGAATAGTAAAGCATGTTTTTTATAGCAAAATACAAGTGCTTTGCTTTCGTATTCTTTATTGTTTAATTTGCTGTCTTGTATATTGCATTTTTAGCGGGCGGGATTTATGCCCAAAGTATACAAAGTGCGCAGATTGAAATCAGTGCACTAAATGCAATAGACGCATTGCATGAAAAACATGTACCTCTTGTTATAACACTTCTAATATATGGTATGTAGGAAGATTGTAATTATTATTTATTACTTCATATACATATTTATCATTCTTATTCCTTAATAAAACTTTATAAACGTATTTTATAAGTTATTGTGTCTTATTTATAAGCATTATTTGTAAATTTTTCATGAGCCGTACATACCCCCCTATGAGTAGCCATATATCCCATCCCTATGGGATATATGGCAAAAATGCAAGAGTTTCAAAAAGTTCATTTCTTAATACGAAAAATAAATATATTTCGGATTTCTAATATTTTTTTCATAGTAGTAGACAGTACAAAGTTTTTACTGATATAGTTCGTTTACTTTAAACATAGTAAATAATACTTAATAAATTAAGTTTTTGATTGGTACGGCGTATATACCGGAGTTATATATGTATATGTATATATATATATACACTAAAACATAACATTCAAACCTTCGAATAATTTTTAACAGCTTTATTAATGCTCGATTCTTTGCAAACTCTAGTGGCTCTATTATGTAATAATCAGCGATTATACTTTCGTTCAATAGCTAGGAATTGTTTCATAGGATGAGGTAACGAGGCGTACTTCTCAGGATTGTTTTTTCTGCGCGAAAATGTGCCAAGTGAACATGATAATTGAAGGGGCATGTGCTGGGGCGATATGCTGAGAAAGTTAAATAAAGGTATTTCATACTGATATTCGGGAGTTTTTGCAATAACGTGAATCCAGTGAACGCTAAAGTCACGTTATCCTTTTCTTAATTAGTTGTTAAGAAGAAGATAACTTGACCTTAGCGTTCACCGTATCTGGATAAACGATATTGCAAAAACTCCCTATTATCTTTTTTCACTAACACCTCTATCTCTACTATTACTGTAACATACTACTTTATATTTTCTTCAATATAAATTTTATTCAAAGTAATATGATTTAAGTAATATTGTTAGAAACATATTTTTATTAAAATATCACCTTATTTTGTTTGATGTTTTGTAAAAATCGATACTAATGATACTTAATATATATAATGACAGTTACATTAGGAAAAAATCAAGATTCCACTCAAAAAGATATAGTTTAATTTTATATTGTCATTTCCACCCAAAATCAGATGTCTTTTTTATCAAAATATTTTTTTCTGTACAATTTTTTAAAATCCAGATTTCAACGTCTTATTTAATTATCAAGATATTCAAGTGAGTTAATTATAATAAAATGAGACACCCTGTATATAAATTTGTGTTTACATCTTTTTCCTTTATACCGTATTATACTCGAAGCCACAAAAAATGGACCGTCCACTATAACGTCGTAGTGGCCCATTTTTTTTTAACGAGCGAGTATACATCAATCCTCTTGCCCTCCAAACATTCGATGCCAATTTCTACCTTCAATCGCAGCAACGGATTTCGCAGCTTCTTATTAGCCAAAAAACATGTCGATTGGTTATGGCGGTTCTTAATTTACGGTTTATGTGTATCATTTTCTTTCTCTCTCTCGTTTGCCGCTACACGTTGTCGAATAACGGAATGTTGCGCAACGTTTCCGATGCTATAAATGGCACGTGAGGCAGAATGGTCCTTCTTTGGTCCTGAATGCAATGCTTGACAATGCAACGGGATACTCATGCTAAATTTGGTATAGCGTAAAACGCATAAAATTCTTCGCGATTGAATTTTTGATTCTCGGTGGAATCTCTTTGAACATTTGCTATCGGCGAAAATATGCGTTATTAACCCTTTGAAGCATGGTAGTAACCCACGTTACCACTTAAACTTCTCCAGTTTTTGGTCGTTTATTTTTTAATTGACGCATTTAGGTCCGGTTTTTTGTGTTTTCCTGGTATCTTAGAAGTAGAAGACTATTAAAAAAAAATAGTTTAGTAGTCCTTATTATTTATTGTAACAGTTTTATAAATAAACAAAGATAAAAAAAATCCTTTTTTTTTTTTCGGAAAAATGTATACTTCAAAGGGTTAAGGTAATGCAGAATTTTCTTTTCGGCTCAACATTTCGCGAGAAGGTAAAAGATAAAGAGAATATTTTATTCTTCTAAAAAAAAGATAGATAATAATCTACGATTTCTTAATCAACGAATGGTAGAAATTTTCTTCATGCGACTTGTCAGTGTTAAACTTTGATTATTTGTGCATAATTCAAGCAATATAACTCTCGTAACACACAAAGAAGAGAGGCCTCGATTTTCTCTGTGCCATCTTTTTTATTACGCCATCGCGTGTCTTCTAAGCAGTGCTATTAAGAAAATTAAACCGATCGGAGGAAGTTTAAAAATACCTTAGCAATTACGATAGATTCGATGCGCATTATTCCCACAAAATCGGAAAAAATTGCGAATACTCGCACGAGTATGGACTTGTCACTGCGTGACAGGTATAACGTGTACTTTCCCGTCCTTACACCTGTTTACCTTAAGGCGTTGCGGGTAGTTGTAAAGGGAAA